TGAATTATCCACCACTACTAGTTTAAAGTAATTCACCTAAACAAGGTAGAAGTCTTATTTTTAAATACACAATTTCATTCCAGAGCCTTTAAATGGAATTAAAATTGAGAATCAAATTAAACAGTGGAGTGGAAGGCATTCTATGGCTACAACTGTTTGCAATTGGAAAAAAAAAGAAAACATTCTGTTTGGATGTAAACATTCCCCTTCTATGCTAGAAACCCTAACACGGCAATATTGTGCTGGGGCATGAGACACGGAAAGTATTCATTAAACAAAGATCAAATATAGAAAACAGCCCAATTTAAAAATATTCAGTTTTAATTATTAAAGAAGTCCCATTTTTAAAAATCTCATCTGTCCCTTTGCAAAATGCCCACTAACGTGCAGGACAGTAAGATGCTATTAGTTCTGTGATCAACAGTATTTTCCAGGAAGAAAAAAAGGAAAACCAAATGGAAATGTGTTATGCCCCAAAAGGAGATTAGTCTGATGCCACTGCATACACTAAAGATGGATGTTTTATCTGGCTTGACGAATGCTTTGTGATGCTTTGCTTTACTAAGGTCCAAACCTATAAACACTTACTCATGCGAGGAGGAATAGAATCTAGCCCTATACATACTTTTCTACCCTGACTGGCAAATCATATAATGCAAGGTCTAGATCCCTTACAGGAAAGAAGAGCACCATAAAACATCACTCACAGTTGAGCTATCTCAAAGTACTACTTGCGCAAAAGCAGGGATAGCGAAGCTTAGACTTGGCTCCTTTTCGGCTGACACCTGACCTGCTGGCCCGGACACAAAACAAGCCAAATGCTCCAGTGTGAAAGAAAAAAAGAGCACTTTAGAATAGCAGTTGAAGCCACATCTGAATCATATATGGTCCTCCCCCCTCCCGCATAATAGAGCTCAAAGGTTATCACTTTGCTAGAGTCAAGTGTTTGGCGAGCAGAGGTTTCTCCAGATACAGCTCATTCAGCTAAAGAGAGGATGATAAGACAAGTCACCTTATCAGTCAGGTCAGGATAATGTCAATATTATTTCATTTTTCAAATGCTCAAAATTAATTTCAAATACTTTGGGTAGAAGTTACTAGAGGTGTTTTTACAGTGAAGAAACTCCATTAAATTGATGCTGCCTTTACTGTAACCTCACTCTTTTAGCCAATTGACACTATCAGCTAGCTCAAAGAAAAATCCCTTTGGCTATCTTAATTCTCCTCTGTTGTATGCTGCAGAAGAGACACAAGAGGCTTGGTGTTGTCAGAGACATGTTGCATCTGGCACTTTTTCTATTTTCAGTGTTTTTAATTTGCCCTTTGCAACAACAATCAATGTCAAACCAGGACACTGAAAAGCACATCTGTGAAAACACGTTCTCTATCTTGCCAGAAATCAGAAAAACCATTTGAAGTTATCTCAAGCAGGACATACACTTGGGCCTGCTCGACTACTTCAGAATCCCATAACGCTATAATGGTGCGGACTCTCCCAAGCACGTCAGTTAATGCAAACTCAGGTCCCGAGCATTTTAGAGTATTTCCAACTAGAGATTCCATTATATTTGGTGAAACTTGGCAAAGAAAAAAATGCTGTGCACACAACTGGGATGATTACTAACCAAAGGCATGGCAACTTCAGCGTTCATAAGGGAAAAGGCCAGTCATTCCCATGGACAGAATGGGAGTTACTAGAAGTGCCTCTCATTACCTGCCTGTCCACCAGAGAATAGCTGACCAGGCTCATCAAGGTGAACAATATAAGTAACTAACTGTTGAGGATAGTAGGAGGCTGTAAGGGCTGAGTTAAGCAAGTTCAGGGGGAAGCAAATACTGGAGACAGTTAAGTTCAGAGGCAGTAGTAAGGCTATGTGTTTTCCATAACCCCTGGAGGAACACCTGTGCGGCTCTTACACAGTGCTTCTCCAGCAGAAGAAAAGTGTCACTGATGATAGCTGTGACATTCTGTATCTTGGGGGAGCACCCTGTAGCCCCCATATGCCTCATTCAGGGCCGGCTCTGACCAAAAAAGCCTCCCGTCGCCCCCCGCCCCCCAGCAAGGAGCGCGGCAGGGGAGGGCGCCGAGCCCGGCCGCAGCCCCGCTCTCCCCGGCTGGCCGGGAGGAGGGCGGAGAGCCCGGCCGGGGCCCCGCTCTCCCCGGCCGGCCAGAGCGCCGCGGGAGGGCGGCCCCGCCCTTCCCGGCTGGCCAGAGCGCCGGGGGGAGGGCGGCGAGCCCGCTGCGGCTCCGCTCTCCCCGGCGGCTGGAGTGCCGGGGGGAAGGCAGCGAGCCCGGCCACGGCCCCGCTCTCCCCGGACGGCCCCGCTCTTCCCGGCCGGCTGGAGGGCGGCAAGCCCGCCGCGGCTCCGCTCTCCCCTGCGGCCCGAGCGCTGGGGGGAGGGCGGCGAGGCCGGCTGCGGCCCCGCTCTCCCCGGGTGAGCGCCGCCCCCCTCCAGGTGCCGCCCCAAGCACATGCTTGGAGGGCTGGTGCCTGGAGCCGGCCCTGGCCTCATTTATATACGATTGTGATCTTGCATATGAAGCATGCCTTGTAAGGTATCAGGGGAAAGGTTATGATCTGCTGAAAGTCATTTGTCCATCCATATCATTAACACATATGAAGTTATGAGAATTATGTTGTATGGTTGTCACTAAAACATGCTGTAAATTGGGGGAATCAGCCAGATATTAGCTCCCCAGAGGCAACAGCAAGGAAAGTAACCAATGCCCGGGCGGGGTGTGAAACAACCCATCAACAGCCATTGTCCAGCAAGGGACCTACAATTCAATGGCTCACCCACATGCAGCCACACTAGGGGAATTGCTCAACTTTGCCTGGAGACTCAGCAATACCCACCCAGATATGCCTGGACTTGTGTTTTCCAAGCACATGGACTGAGGGTATAAACCAGACACCGTGGCCACATGCTTGGCTTTTTCTCCTGCCCCCACCCATGACACAAGCAACAAGGACACTGAGAAGACTGAAGACTCCAACAGAGGAGACTGACCCAGCTTTAAGGGACAAATCTATATATTAAAGACTGCAATATCCAGTGGGGTGAGAAAAACTGCTTAATCTAGTTGCTGCCCAGTCTAACAGGGTTGAGAATTTAGACTGCATGCTTATATTTTATTTCTTTTGGTAACTAACTCTGACTTTCTGCCTATCACTTAAAATCTATCTTTTATAGTCAATAAAGTTGTTTAACTGTTTATCTCTACCAGTTAGTTTGTATGAAGTCCATGGCAAATCTGCTCAGATTTTTGCAAAGGCTGGTGTCTATCCACTTTCCATTGATAAAGTGGTGAGCCAATTAATAAATTTGCCCTACTCATCTTGAGCAGTGCAAGACAGTATATTCCTGGGGTACAGTGCTGGGAGGGGGTGATTTGGCTCTGATGCCTCTGTGTGTGTGATTCGTGAGTGGCTCTGGGAGCATCCATGCAATATAGCTGGCTGTGGGGCTCCACATGCTGTTGTGCTGAGCAATCACAGCGCCTGGAGGGGTTTGCTGCTGGTCACTACCAAGGCATTGTGAGAGACAGCCCAGGTGGGAGAGTTAAGGGGACACAGTTCCACAATCCCAGGCTGTACCCCAGGGATCCGGTCACAATAGCATCAATGTTAACAACCATTTCCCCAGTCAGCACCTGCAGCAGTAGCAAGGGGTGGGAGACAACATGATTGCTGAGTAGAGGAATTTTACAACAAGCAGGAAGAAAAGGAGGGTAAAGAACAGGAAAATATGGAATTCAAATATGGCAATCCTGAGCACCTGGACAATGCATTTAATTAAAACAAGCCTTTTCAGTCTCAGAGCTATAAAATTAACAATTGCATTTTACAATACTAGGTGGTCCACTGACTACCGGAGTACTCGTGGAGGCCCTGTTTTGGGACTTTCAAAGTGTTACTGTCTCAAGTACAGCATGAATTATCCAAGCACAACTATAAGCCATACCAACTTCTGGACAACAGGAGGTAGATATAAACAGCTCCGCAAAAGTCATTGGAATTAGGTGTATTTACACCAGCTGAGAATCTGTCCCCAGAACAGTTACTGCGCTCAGGAAACCCTTGTAAAACACACAGCCAAGTTCCAAGGAAACAAATAGCTCCATGTCCAAAGTATTTTCTGTAGATGATCCTAGTAAAATTTCCTTCCATGCACAAAAAGGTTCTGCTGCACCATCACAATGAAAAACCAAAAACACAAAGGGTCAGAAGGCAATTAAAGGGAACATGGCAGCACAAAGGAGAACAAAAAAATGAGTCTAAGGCTAAAAGTTAAGCACGACATTTTTATAAAAAAAATTTATTTAGATGAGGTCTCAAACATTTTTAATATGAATTTACAAACATTTCAAGTTAGTGCATAATATTGTGACAACCAAGAATGGGAAAAACAGAACAGATAATGGTTGATTTTCTGATACCTAATACGATCATCTTGATCATATGCCCTAGTATGTGAGGTGAGGGGGACAGAAAAACAGAACACTGGAAAAAAAAAAAACCAAAATAATTAAGCCATGATCCATCTAATCTAATTTTCATTGGCACCAGACAATAACCATTCATAACTTGATATTTACAATGCTAGATATACTATTGGGATGCATGGAAGAATAATTTGTCATCTCTATGTGTGGTGAAGAAGCGAGGTGTGTATGACTGCCCTATGGCTTTTTTGAATGTGCCAATGGAAGCTAATGCTTCTTTTCCCCCAGAGGAAAAAGAGAGGAAATGTTGTGTGAATCTTATAAAAGAACTGTCAACAGCTACTGATCTATTGAATGTAGGGTATTATTTCAACTCAGTACATGTTGTTGCAGATATTCTTCATGAAATGGCAAAGTTAATAAAGACAAATATTTGAATTTTTTTTTTAAATAAGTGTAATACATAGATTTTGAAATATTCAAGTGTGTTCTTTTAAGGACCCAGAACAGCACAAAATAGTTTGCTTGAATGAGAAGGGACAATGTGGTAATTACAATATTCACTTTGACTTATACTTTCTATATAGTATTTTAGAGTAGGATTCCCCTTCTGGAAGTTGTTTCAGACTTCATTCAAAGGCGGTTCAACTCATTCACCCTCCTGAATCTTTGCCCTCTTTAGATAGTCTGTGTCAAATGCTGCACTGCAAGTATTCCTACTGTCCAACAAACTGGCTTGATTGTAGTCCATTGCTACAACTGCTGGTTGGGTAAAATGAATCTCCTATGTCTTCTTTAGCAGAGCATGCAATGCAGCAAAAGCAGAGGTAAATGGGTGCAACAGAATACCTGAGCTCCACTTAGACAACAATGGAGTCAGGCTGTTGGTACCTATAAAAAATTCTGTATTTAACAAATGCACACACATTTAAATTTTAGAGTTAGTCAGTTATAGTATGTAACTCACCAATTTAGTTGGACTGCCCTTCCAACTAGCTTTCTCCTTGAATGTGGTATAAAAAAAAATTGAGAATTACCTAAAATTAATCTAGACATAAAAGTTTCAAGAATGTGTCTCAGATGATGCACTGATGCCAACTATCAAGTCCAAAACAAAAACATCGTTTCTCACCCCAGCCCTTAAAAATTGTTTCTTGATTGCTTCCTTATGAAGTAAAGAGTGCCTCAAGTGTTTTTTGATTTTTTTAAAGTTCTTCTAATTTTTACATTAGAAATATCAAGTCTTGATTTTGTTCTAGCCGTGATCAACCTTCTGTAGAACAGGAGAACTGGGGGGGGATAAAAACATTACAAGAGACTGAAATCTAAGATGTAGTTTTCACAGCCTTTAATTGTAAAAGGAAAGAATGTTTAGTCACACTGCTTCAAACTGAATTTTTTTATTGTTTTGTTTTTATGAAACAAAAAATATGAAAAGAAATATTCAAACAAACAGCTGGGAGAAAAGCTCCCTGTGTGAAGACAGCATCCCCTTCTCTCATTCAAGAAATGAAAAAGATTCAAGTTTAATGTGATGTTACTATTCCATTTCGTTCTATAGTCTTCCAGCACAGACAACACAACTTTTATTTCTTGGAGACCATCTTTATACATCATAAAGGAGCAATAAATAGCTCAGAAAAAGAAATGTTTTCCTTTGCAGGTCACCCATAAGGAAAGCAACTCCACCACACTTTTGTGCCTCCATCAGTGCCCTGCCATGGAAGCCTCACACTTTAACTTAGGTCTGGTCTATAACAGATATCCTGGCATAGCTATTTCAGTTAGGAATGCTAATTTTTTTTTTTTAAACTGAAATAGTTATACCTGTATGTGCTCCAGTGTGGATGCAGTTATAGCGGTATGAGAGATTATTTCCTTATGGGAAGCTACACTGATATAAGCTCTTTTATACCAATACAACTGCATTCATGCTAGGGGCAGCTATACTGCTTTAAATACACTGATAGAGTTAACTACCATTATAGTTAAGGTGGATACAATTTTTCATTTTAGTCAAGCCCTTACCGTAAAATACAAACTGTTTATCTGAACCCATTTAAAAGAACCCTCCCACACACATTTAACACTTTTGTATATGCTAGTAAGTTCTGACAGCTTCCTCAAATTCTTAGGAAAACACTGCAGATTTGAGCCCAATCCCATTCCTGGTGAAATCAGAGGGAGTTTTGCCACTGACTTCAATAGGAAGAGGATCAAGCCCTCTGGTGCTTAATACAACAGCTGTTCCATACCCAGTACTAATAATTAGAATAACCTTTAACAGAATTAAGAGTCTGATTAAGATTACAAACTGCAAATCCAATCTCTAACAGGATGAAAAAATATGTCTAACATGTTATATTTAGAGTACTCACATGGTAAGATCTGCAGTGAAGTAAAAACTGATCTGCTACATTTCAGAAATGAGAAGTCTAAAGAGAGATGTCAGAACAAATTGCATAAGCATAGAGTATTATCATTACAAAAATGTACTAATGCCACAATAGCTGCACTGGGAGCTATTATAGTACTTGTGATTTGGTACACATGCTATGGTACCCATTTCCACTGTTTTTGCAGTTGGCTCAGACAAACCAGTTTTGATATGGTACAAAACACAGGACTTAGTGACTGCTTAAATACTTGCAATTCTAGAAAAGTTATCTATCTCCAGATCACGCTACTACAGTCCCACCCTTTAACAGCTCTGTGTCAGTCACTATAAAATATAATATAGAATAGCAAGAATCCAAAAGGATGCATCAAAAATTCATTTGCCTCCTAGGGTCCTCAAAACAATTAAAAAAAGAATAGTGAATGCATTAACAAAGCCTTTCAACTAGCATACATTTGACCCGAGACTCAATATTCAGTCTTTGACCTTGTATATAGTGGGGATTTGCTTTCATTTCAGTCATTATTATAACTGGACAGGTGCAACCCCTCATGTACACAGACAGAGCTGCTATATGTACTGGTGGAAGAGCTCCTCCCTGCTTCAAATGGAATAAGCTACACCAGGTGTACCTTAGGGGTTGCACCAGTCCAGTTACACCGATGACTGTAATAATGGCAAATCCTCAATGTAGACAAGGCCTTCTTCTTGTGCTTTTGCACAAGGCAGGCTAAAATTCTTGTGGGTTTAATCTGTTGAATCCTGAGTTTGACTTGAATCCTCTATTCGTTACCAGTGGTGCAAACTGTGCCCACCAAAACTCTGGTTTATCTCACTTGCATTGACGTGCATCCTTGACCAGCTTTTATCTTTCACCCCACCTGCAGATGCCAAACCCCCCCCCAAATGACAACAGCAAAATCTCATGCACATTCTGTTTTGTATATGAATAACTCTATCATTAGGAACATATTTAAAACAATCATAGGTCAATTCTCCTGGTTTTCTTTCCCGCCCACCCACGATTTCTTGGGAAGCAACATATTCTTTACAAACAGGAAAAACAGATCGTTGGGGAGCCTTAACATTACAACAGTATCAATAACTAATTTCTGTAGGGTAGTAGCATGTCCAAAAAATTAATACAAGTAGGGAACACATTTTGTAATAAGTGTTCTGTTCTAACTTGCTGGAGCTTTGTTTATACCCTAAACAATGCTGCATCAGTCAACTAAGAATCCATAGTTGACTTTTTTAGCCAAATAATCTGTATCTGTTTGAAAAAAATCTCTAAACTATTAGCAGTGAGGCCCTGTCTCAACTCGAGTGACATTCTGAGCATTGCTGCTCTTCTGCTTTCCGTGGTTTTTCAATGTGCCCTCCTTCCTCTTCCCCTTTGGATGCACAGCATGCATGGGCAGCACCCTGATGCCCCTGGCACCTTGTACATTTCTGCTTTAATGCGCAGACAGTGTGGGAGCACGTGCCACTGTTGCAAGCCCGGCACACCTGACTTTTATCATCCGTCCTGGAATTTTGAGGCCGCAGTGGAGCCTGCTGGTCACCCGCAGCCTGCGGCTGCCTGGTTGTTGATGGCTTCAACGGGGCCATCCACTTCATCCAGAGATTCAAGTCAACATCCCCCCAGGCCATGGTGGGGTCCTTGGCCGCCAGCCGCCTGAAGTCCTCGTCATAGTGCAGCCAGGAAGTGCCGCCGTAGGTGGCGTGGAATTTGCGGATGACATCCAGGTATTTGAACATGGCCCCACACCTGTTGGGGTGCTTCTCGCAGAGCACACTGGCGTACACCAGGAAGGCGGAGACCCACTGGTCCAGCGTGTCCCCCAGCCCCTGGCCAGGCTCGTGCTCCGGGGCCAGCTCTGTGTGGAGCAAGGAGAACAGGTCAATGAACTCCCCCCTCCAGATCCGCTCCTTGGTGGCCTTGGCCAGCTGGTAGCCCAGGGGTCTCCGCAGCCCCACGTAGGGACTCGCTGCCTCCGGGCAGGGCTCCCCCTGGGTGGCGGGCGGAGGCCCCAGCGAGCTGCTCGCAGCCTCCGGGCCCTGCGGCCCGACCAGGCCTTCCGGGGCCGCCGCCAAGGCCGCCTGCCGCTCCAGCCACCTGGGGTTCACGTACACGGTTCTCAGCCGCGGCGCCGCCCCCGCCCTGCTGCCCCCGGGCCCCGGCTCCCGCGCCAGCCCGGCCAGCTCCCGGAAGATGCCCAGCGCGGCGGGCAGGCCGCTGCCCTGCGCTCGGGGGGCCGGCGGGGCCAGGAGCGGGGCGAGAAGCGGGACGGGGGCGGCCCACGGGTGGGAGAGCCCGGCAGGCCCCGCCGCGCTACCGGGCGGGGCCGGGCCCAGCCCCGCTAGGCCCAGCTCTCCCTGGGCGCCGCCGAGCACCTCCTCCCGCGGGGCCCAGCGGGGCAGGCCGGGCCCCGCCCGCTCCCGGGAGCCTCCCGCCTCTCGGCGCCCCGCCAGCGGCGCCCCCTGCGCCTGGGGGGGCCCCGGGGCTCCAGGCCGGCGCCGGCGGCGGCTCCTCCGCCTCCCACGTGGCATCGGCGCGGCTGGGGCTGACGCGCCGCGGGAGGCGGCGGCTCCAGCCCCAGTAGTGGGGCGGGGCAGCAGGAGCCAGCCCGCAGGGCCGCCGGGGTGGGGCGGATCGGTGCTTCCAGGGCCCTACAGCCGCCCAGGCCAGCGAGTCCCGTCTCTGCTCCCCGGAACTAGGGACCCGCAGGGCCGGCCCCGCCCCCGTGACAGGGACTCACCGCCGCCCTCCGGCCCGAGCTGCTCCTCCCTCCCCAGTTTTACACCCCCCCCGACAACCTTCTCCCTCGGGCAGGGAGTGCCCTCCCCGTGGGACTCACATCTGTGTTCCGGGGTCCAATCGCAATGCGGTTGCCCTGTGTGCGGTCCCCCGCTTCATGCCCACAGCTTTCTGTAACCCACAACGGAGAGAGCTGCGGCGCTGCACTGGTTGTAAGCGGGTCCCCAAGGCTGTTGTTGCAGTCAGGGACTGTTTCTAAGACCCCACTTAGGGAAGCACGTGCTAGCTGAACTCAGTTTAAACACAATATAGCTGTGGGCAGACTGTCCAACTCAAATCATGTCACAAGCTAAGGTCCCAGCAGGTACACAAAGCAGCTGTGTGGTAACATAGTTTATGATTAATCTGGGCAAAAGCATGGTTTGGTTAGTCATGATGGACATGGCCAGTGTGAGCTACGTCAATACCTGGGCTAATACATCTTTTTAAAACCTGGCTATAACACAGTTTGGCTCCTCCTGCCACACTATCCAGCAAATTCTGTTTTAACTAAATACAGTTGTTAAACGTGGTTGCTTGCTCTGTATAGGTGAGGGTCTAATTTATCTAAAAACTAGGACCAGGTTTAGATGGGGCCTTAGTGCAGGCAGCTCCGTTCTACTGAGACAATGTTGTCAGTTTAAGGGGAGGGACTGTGGAAACAGATCCTGAGAGGGGACCATTCACCCCATGACATGGTGGCTTATAGCCAAACAGTTTCATGTGTGTGATAAACAAGTGTATGTGCCACTGTTGCCAACTTTCACGCAGTAAATAAGCACCCCGACTTTCACAATAAACCAAAAATCAAGCTAATCCCATTTCAAAACAAGGCCAAAACAAGCGAATCCCTAAGAACCCCAACACTCTATGTGACTAGATCCCCCTGGCGTGCAGTGTGGTGGGCCCGCTGTGCACCCCTGACTCTCTCCCCCACTTGCCCCTGCTTGCCGGGAGCCAATCAAAAAAAAAAAAAGAAGCAACAAGCTACAAGCCAAACAAGCAACAAACTACAAACAAAAAACTAGCCAAGAAGCAGCTCACAAGCCAATTAAGCCAAAAACAAGCCCAATTTCTGTTTTCCCCCCCACAGGTTTGGCATGTGCTGCCGGTGATTCAGGGAACACAACACAGTAAATGGCATTTGAGAGAAACATTGTTTTGAGTTTGTATTTGCAGATTCATTTAGCTCTTTTCTTTGGTTAGTAAGACTTAATTTCCTGTTGGAATTATGTGTTCATCTGAACCTCTTGGCTGAATAATGTAATATGTTGGGAGTGTTTGATTTGGAGTGTAAAGCTGATTACTGAAAGGCTCTATCTAATCTATAATAAAAAATATTATGTGGGGGCCCAGCATCATTCCAGCACCTTATTTATCTCATTTAAATATTAATTTGTATCTCTATTTATAAATAATTTATGGTTTTAAATATAATGTCCTTATGGATCAGGCTCTAGCAGATAAGGAGCTGCTGGTCTGAGTGAAGTCTGCTGACCGTAGGAGGTGCCATAGCTACTTACCTGTGGAGTTCTGAGCCAGGTCAGGAGTGAGTAAATGCAAGGACTATGGAGGGAGCCAGGGTCCTGCAATCAGCTTCAGTTCCAGTCACATCCAAACCTTTTGGTATTAGGATGGTCCAGTCCTGTTCCCATTGAAGTCATTAACAAAACTGAAAGGTATTTGAGCCTAGATGCTCAAAGGTATTTAGACATATAACTCCCATTGATTTCAATGGGAGTGAGGAGCCTAAACACCTTTGAGGATCTGGGACATGGTTACTATCCTTCATGGACATTATGTTCACCCACTTGCCAACGGAAACAGAATTCTGAAGTCTTGCTTTCAGAGCACACCCGTCGAGTGGCAACTCTGAACAGGGTTAGACAATATGGTGGTAAAAACACCTCTATGCTGGTGGTGTATGCTACCACTTACACCGTGATGTAGATAAGGCCTCTGTTACAGACTTAACAATCCTTCCTTCTTCAGCTGAGGACTAGTAAAGCTACATCTTAGGTATCAGCCTAGTGACATCACTGTTTTATTTAAAATCTCCAGTCCTCCAATTGGTCCTCTGACAAAACACATTAATTCAAGACTTGGAGTTTTTAATGTAAGAAAGAAGCAGGAAAAAATAAGATAACTACATATTTTTAATTATACTTGAGCCCATTTTGATACATTGTACAGCAGTAATGAAAGGATGCAAACCCTTTTTCTTTTTCTTTCCAATTCACTTTTAACTTAAGTTTAACAAGGTTTTAGTCACAGTAGCAGGAGGATCTGTGTTCAATTTGTGAAATGAAGAAGTTCATATTTTGTAGCGACTTTTCATTCATTTTCTGTAGTGACTATGAGCAAAAATTACTGCTGGCATAAGTAGGTGCATTTCTAGTGATGAGTTTTTAAACGTATTGTTTTTAAATTCCTCTCAAGTAACTTAAAAAAAAAACAACCCCCAAAACTCAACCACTTACTAACTCTGAATTCATCAAACTGGGGCATTAGTTTTATCAGAATTTGTTGAAAGTTTTGTACAGCACAATAATTCCTCTAAAACTTGCCTGAGCAGCCTGCTAGCACAATAGTGAGTGTAGTAGGATCTATACAGTATTTATACTGACTCTTTAAAGATTTCTGGAGATTGAGGTTTTCTTAGCTTTAGACTAGATTTTTTCTCATTCATATTTGGTTAACTCCTTTTGAAAATGTCATTCATGTGCCAATACACAGTAAAGATTTTTCAGTTCTGACAGCTTTAAGTAATAAATTTTTAAAGTAATACATTATATGTTAGGTTTGGCTGGCTCTGGGTTATATGAGTTTAAAAAAATAGTAATTAACTGGTTTAAGATATCATTTTGTGTTGATAGAACTCAAATATGGCTTTGACTTAAAACAATAACAATTGGCAAATTCTGGGATCCAGTGGCACATGCAGGCTGGAATTATGGTAGCCAAAGGTCCTTGAGAAAATATATCTTTAGTTAAGCAGGAGGACAGTGGTTTCTTAGGTCTGTCTGCAGCATGGCCCAGGGCAAAACTCCATTTGTGGGGACTGAAGCTGATTCAGAATAAAACTGAAGAGTGGAAAGGAAGAAGTCATAACAATTAACTTAATACATTCCTCAGAATTTCTCTCTCCGCGATCCCATTGCTTTAGTAATCCATATTAATTCTACTACTATTTTTTTTTTAATATACTTTTTAAAACTTGAAGGAAGTATCTTCAAACTCAGAGTGGCTGGTCAATTATTGAACAAGATAGCAACAGGATGAGTTCAGACATTAAGATTAAGATAGGGCAAATAGTAAACATTCCTTCTGGAGCAGGGGACCCAAGTAATAATTCTTGCAGAATTTAAGCTTTCATTTTACAAATGTTAAGATAACCTTCCAAATGTGAATTGGAGCTCCATTGCCTGTGCTGCTGTTAATAATTTACTAAAGATTCTAGACTAGGCCTACTCTACATTTATAGTGACATAGCTATGTTGGTCAGAGGTTGAAAAACCACACCCCCGAGCATCATAGTTATGCCAACAAAACCCCAAGTGTAGACACACAAGAGATCTTCTGCTGGCATAGCTAATGTTGTTCAGGGAGTTGGTGTTCCTACACCAGCAGAACTCCTCCCCTGTTGACATATGTTGTGTCTACAATAGGGCTATGCACTCATAGACTTTGTAGTGTAGACATAGTCCTAGGCGGCCACTGAAAACCCTGTGGGCAGCAACATAACCAGCAATCGTGCCATAGTATCAGCATAACCAGCAATCAGTGTCATATTACTGTTTCTTGAGAAAGCTATAAGCAGCAGCAAAGACAGACATTAAAAGTGTTCGCTTTGGTCTTTTATTGTGTTGCCTCCAGACCCTCTGTTCTGACAATACCAGCCTTATCTGCTTGTTTATCAGCTTCTCACACAAACCTCCACACATCTTTTTACACGCTGCCCTTTGCCCACGGAATTCCTTTTCTAAAGGAATCTGTAAATCCCTGCTGTCTCCTACTTCAAATCCCTCCTCAAAATCCACATCTGTCATGAAACCTATCAGACATCAGATACCTAACAATGGTTAGGTTGTGGGAGGAGGGGAGGGAATGCGGACACTTGGCATCTACTTCATTTATAGCCTTTTAAAAAAATAACACAGACCATATCATTGTATTTATTTGAGTGTCTCTCTTTCCACATGCCTCATGTCCATTGTCTAAGGCCCTGATTCTGCAACTGCCTCTGTGGGGGTGGACACCAGTGTTGAAGTCAAGATAGCTCCTCATGCATGCAGGGCTTTGCCCCTATGGAAGCAGTGTCAGGGTCTGGGCCTAAAAATATAAGCTCTTCTGAGCAAGACATGCATCCTTGTGTTAGCACAACAGGGCGCTGATCCTGATTGGGGCTCTTTGCACTAGGGCAACATAAATAATAATAATATAATTAATAATAGTGGTGCAGAAGGATAAATATACTGGAAGTGAGAGAAAGGGTAGAATATCAGAGAAACCTGCCTTAACTGCCAATGGGCTAGGGGAAGGATAGGAATAGTAATGACATTCAACTACCAGGAGGGTAGGGTGGGATGAAAAGATAATAAAAAAGCTCATTCACCAAGCAGGTAGAAGGGAGCTGGTCTTCAAATTTATCAGATATCTACTACCAGAGAGTCGTGCAAAAGAGCAATGGCCAGAACCAGCAACCTGATAGGAATCTCAGTACCTTTCCAGCTGGACTTCTCAGCAACTTACA